GTGCTGTGGGATGGACCTGGTAGACTCAGGAGACACCATCACACAAGCTGACGGCTCTTGATCTGGAGCTCAATGCATCTAGTGCAGCTTTGAAAATAGGGAGCTGATTCTGTTTCCATGTTCAGAAGCAGCAGCAGAAAACCAAGCATCTTGAATGGAAGATCACGTGCCGTGCCGTGAAAGCGCAGAGCACTCTCCGGGAGTACGGGCTGTCTTTGGTGTGGCCCAGCACTGGCAGCCTCCGTCCTGACTATTTATGGGAAAAATGATTTTGTGTAAATATAGTCTTGACAAAACATTGGCTGGCAGGAAAGCAGCTTTCTTTTCAGAGGAGCAAAATGAGAGTGTATATTTTAATTCAAGATCAAAGACTTAACATAAAAGAAACCCTGACAAATGAAAACTGGGCAATTGGATTTTCCTCCTGTTTGCTGGGAGAATACTTTGAGCTTTCAAATATGTTTCTAGACAGCAAGTTATGAGGCTAGATAATTACGTGGTGTGGGTGGGGAGAACTGCACGCTCAAAAATGGTCTCCACGGAACCCCCGTCCTTGTGAAGTGCTTTAGCACAATGTGCAATGAAAGAGAGGAAGAATTAGTCAGAGTTAATGAGCAAACCAGATGACTCTGGGGACGTGGTGCCCCTTTGCCATGTTTTTCTCCTTTTGGCAGATCCATTAAACATGGTAAAATATACTTGACATAGCTTAGCCTTGGTTCATCACATTGTTTTATGAGTTTAATGCTAACTGGCCCCAAATTCAATGGTTCTGGATGTCTTCACATGAGAATCTGACACAGGAAACTAACTGATTCCTGGCTAAGTTCTAAAAAGCTGTAACGAAATCGTTCTTGGGTTAAAGACCCTTGGTGTAGGGTTTTCCCTTTATTAGCTATTTCTTTTTTTTGAGATGGAGTTTCGCTCTTGTTGCCCAGGCTGGAGTGCAATGGCGCGATCTCGGCTCACCACAACCTCCGCCCCCTGGGTTCAGGCAATTCTCCTGCCTCAGCCTCCCGAGTAGCTGGGATTACAGGCACGCGCCACCATGCCCAGCTAATTTTTTGTATTTTTAGTAGAGACGGGGTTTCACCATGTTGACCAGGATGGTCTCGATCTCTTGACCTCGTGATCCACCCGCCTCGGCCTCCCAAAGTGCTGGGATTACAGGCGTGAGCCACCGCGCACGGCCCCTTTATTAGCTATTTCTACAAATAGATGAAGGTAATGAATGATAGATGTGAATTTCTTCTACGTGTCCTGTTAGAGCTCGAGGACTTTGCCAGAGAGTTTTCTGTGGGCGCCCCACTTGGCGTGTTAGGGCCTTAGGTTAGTTTGCCCTCCTTGGTGAGAAACTCACAACCCTAAGACTTCAGTTCCCAGGTCTGTGACATGTGGCCATGTGCTTGATTTTGAGTGGTTTTCCCTAGAAGATCGGTAAAGGAATGACCTCTGTCCACAGTTGATCCAGTAGGTTACTGGACCCGGAGAGTTGGTGTCCTCTCATCCCAGTGGCCCCTTGTCCTGTGAGCTGGGGTGGGCTCCTCCTGTGCTATTGGGCCTGGGTGGTGGCCAGTGGCAGTTGTGGCACCTTCCCTGCAGGTTCCTGATGGAAGATGCTAGCCAGTAATAGCAGGATTGAACCCCCACATGAACACTCTGCTAAGACCTCTGGGTACACAGAGCAGGCACAGCTGCGAGCATGGATGTCCTATGGGCAAAAATTGATCTGTGGGGGGCAGGGAAGGGCTAACCCAATGATCACTCATAGGCCCCAAAAGCTCAGGCAGCCGCTCAGGTGCCGTGGCCCGTGAGTTACGCCTCAGACTCCCTTTCCCTGTTTCTCATCGGGTTTTTCCTGATTTGGAAATGTTGGTGCTTTGAGAAACGTCCATGGACAACTGTGCCTCCTCACCTGCCCCTTCTCACTTCCACGCACAAGAGTCCAGAACATCCAAACATTCCACATTTCTGTGAGTGTGAAACTGTCATGGTTTGTCTCTCTATGGCCCCATGTGGGCTCCCTGATCTCATCCGTATGGTGGGGTCAAGGGCGAGAGGCACTGGTGGACCTTGTTCCTAGACTGGCTGTCTCCTCGCCATGCGGGCTGGAGATGCCGTGTGTGCTTCCGAGTCAGGGCTTTGGGCTGCAGCACCCTGTCTCCACGTTCTTGGAGTCTTGTCGCTGCAATGTCATGAATCATTCTGACCAGGCTGATGAGGGTGAAAGGTGTTAGATTCTGCCTACTGATTGGGAGGAGAGGCTGGCTGCCCTGCCCTGAATCTGAATGTAGAGGCCCTGGGTGAAGGGATGCACCCTGTCCCGCCTGGACCACATACCAGGAGCCCTGGGAGCAGAGGTCCTGGGTGGCTGGAGACGTCTTCACTTCGCCTCTGCGGGTGGAACCTGCATTTCTTCACAGGAGACTGTGGCTCCGCAGATGTCCTGCCTGCCAGGGCCGAGGAGCATACCACAGGGAAACTTCCAGCAAACATGAGAACAGCATGCCGGTGTGACTGGGGCAGAAAGCACAGCAGTGTTTTCTCTATTGACAGGGACTAGGGCAGTGTGTGGCAGCGGCTTCTGTAGGGGGCTGGGGAGGCGCCCGTGGTCGTAGAGGAGCTGGACCACCCTGCACCACCTCACTCGCTCCCTTTTCCCTTCTTTCCTTTTAAAATTTCTGCCCTTTCTGTTCCTCCCACCACAAGTTCCCAATCATTTCCCCTCTGCTTTTCTTTTCTCTCTGTTGAGGGCTCATGTACACCCGCGTGATTATCCAGGGTATTCCCACGCCTGCCACCTGTGGGCTTTGTCCTCTCTACCCCACATGTGTGCATGCACACACCACACACATGCACACACCACACACATGCACACCACACACGTGCACACACCACACACCACACAAACATGCACACACCACACATGCACATATCACACATGCACACACCACACACATGCACACCACACGTGCACACACCACACACCACACAAACATGCACACACCACACATGCACATATCACACATGCACACACCACACACATGCACACACCACACACATACATATATGCCTACCACACACATATACACCCTCCACACACCATACACGCATGCATAGAACACACACATACACATGCCACACAGACACCACACAACACACATACCCCACACACACATACCACACACGCCACACACATATGCACACCATACACATGTACATACCCCTAGCACACACACGCTTTCTTCAGGAACCGTTCTCCCAGGCCTTCACCATGTGGCCTCAATGGCACCCTCCCATCAACCTGCTTCGGGCGTGGCTCTGCTTGTTTTTCCTGAGTGGGGATTTTGGAGGGCGCTGCTCTTGGGCACTCAGTGTGGACTGGATGCTGTGGATGCTTATTTGCTATCCCGAAATTCTGGGCCTAACCCATGGCAGGACATTTATGTGGAATATCAGATCACTGTTAAGAAGATGACTGCTTTCCCTCTGTTTCTTCACAAAACATGCTGGCTCTCCCTGTGGAGAACCGAGGGTGGGTCCTGCAGGTTTAGAATTCCCATGAGAGATCAGAGTTTCCACCAAGTTGGCAATTATATATCTTGGAGTGAAGGAATGGCTGTTTCAGGATGCTTGGCTGGTCGGCTGTCTCTTGCCAAAGAGGAATTGCCTCAGTGATGTGTCTGAGACCTCAGACCCTGGGAGTGGGGGGTCTGGGGTGTGGGAAGCAGGAGTCCCTGACCTGCCTCTTAGTGCAGCTTCTCTCTGTCTGTCTCTGCTTCTTCATCTCTCCCTCTCTCTCTGATGCGGTGTGTGTGTCTACCATATGCACACTTGGTCGTCTGTCGTCCAATTGATAGAGCTTTAAAAAAATCCCCACATACACGGGGAAGTGTCACCTGTTTGCACACACTACCATCTACTTTTATTAGAAAGTTAATACCTCATAATTTACAAACTGTAACCCAACTGTTCTGTTTCCACGTCTTAGTTCCTAACCAAAGACCTCAATATTTTAGTCAATTGACACTAAGTAGTTAAGAAAAAAAGGCAGGAAATGGTACTGCAAGTTTAATCTTTAAAACATCTGCAAACTAGGCATAGTGAAAATGGCATTAAATACGATTTTACTGATACAAAATTTTAAAAAATTGGACCACACCTTGGATTAAAATATATCTCCACATTATCTTTTGAAAAGAGTCTTGCCAGTTTGATGAATGGCATTGGGGTGAAGAGACTACCAGCGCAGGGAAGACCATTTCTAAGTATTTATGAAATAGCCATTTATTGTCTTAATTATGCACCAATATTTGGTATTGAGCTTGCAATTATATGCTTTTCTTGTCTATCCAGTTTTAAAACCAAGATTGTAAGCAAAACACAAAAGAAAATAAAACTTTGAGATGTTGGCTTAATTTCTTTCTTTGGGTGACTGTGTTTGTTTTAAAGGAATTAATAGTGTTCACTTAAAAGAGATTAAAATTCAGTTACTTATTAATTTAGATCAATCTCACTACTGCTTTTTCAGATTAATGAGTTAGGTTAACAGTGGGTTTTGTAAAACCTCCAGCTCTGCTGAGATTACATTGTATTCCATGGGCAAAGTTGGTTTGTCAAGTTTTAACTGGCTTAGAACTGTTCTTATCTCTGAGATTCCGAGTATGATTAATGGAGTATTGAAATGACTGCAGCATCCTGGGGTGAAATGTTATCAGTGATAAGTAACTTGCTTGGGAGTAAGGAAGTGATCTGAGGATTCTGGACCTATGTATGTCATTGGCTACTTACAGGCTATCTGTGGAGGATTGTGGTGGCTTTCCTAAGACCCAGGCTGACCTGACAGAATCAATGGAATGTTCTAGGCTTGAGCAGCATGAATTCCAGAAGTATTTGTTAAGGAAGAAACACAAAACCTTGAGTATAAGATAAAGGGGGGAGTTTCTTAAAACTGTCATCTTTCTAAAATACTCAAGAAGTTCCAATTTTCTTATGTCTGTCTTAGCCACAAAAACAGGAATGAGATACTTCTTGGGTCATGACTGCTGGGAACACTAGCAGTGTGGCCTTTTTATTCTCTTTTAAAGCATTCCGTGGCTTCAGGGGAAATGCAGCTGGCTCGTTGGACATAGAAATCCTGAGAATAAACACAAAATATTTATGTGTTTAGATAACAGTAAAGTAGGACCAGTTTCTTTCAGAGCCATTTGCGGAGCATTTAACTGAATGCTTGAGCACATTTGATTTTTAAAGGAATGCTGCCAGGTGAGCCATGCAGCTGGAGTCATCCCTCACTTACAGATGATGCTGAAACTGATTTTCAGAGCGTCCCGGGGCTTGGCGGTGGGCGCAGGAGCCAGCACCAGAATGTTCTAGCTCTGGGCTAGGTTCTTTTCCCATCCCTGCAGAGGAGGGTGCGTGGAGAGCAGTGCGCCCAGAGCTCCATGTGCTTGCTCCCCGCAGTGTGGGTGCTTGTTTTCGTAGTCGTTTGAAAATAGGGCTCCTAAACCTGCTCCCTCTTGTAGATTTATATCATTTTCTTGGGATCTTTTCCGATCCACTCATGAAAATATTTTATTTTTATTTATTTATGTATTTATTTGAGACAGAGTCTCTCTCTGTCGCCCAGGCTAGAGTGCAGTGGTGTGATATCAGCTCACTGCAACCTCTGCCTCCTGGGTTCAGCGATTCTCTTGTCTCAGCCTTCCGAGTTGCTGAGATTACAGGTGCATGCCACCATGCCTGGGTTATTTTTGTATTTTTAGTAGAGACAAGGTTTCATCATGTTGGCCAGGCTAGTCTTGAACTTCTGACCTCAGGTGATCCACCTGCCTCAGTCTCCCAAAGTGCTGATTACAGGTATGAGCCACTGTGCCCAACCCACTCATGAAAACATTAATTGAGTACCTACCCTGTGCCATCTGTTCGAGGTGCTAGGGGAGGGGACTAGACGGAATGGCAGTCACTGCCTGCTGGGTTTCAGCATCTCCTGGTAGGTGACCACTCAGAGGATGAGGACCCAGGGAACCTGTAAAACCCAATTTTGATAAATAATTATGTCTAGCACATTTTTAAGAAAAAAATTAAGTTTTTTCTTAATTGGCAATGAGCAATTCTCTCAAGGTTTAAACCTAAAGACTATCTTGCATGCTTTTGTGTTATCAACTGTAATTCTTACCTTCAGAGTATATCATCTTCATTTTTCAAGTTTACTTTTATCATAGACCAAGAAAAAAAAAATCCATCACCTACCTTGTGGCGTTTCCTGACTTTTCTGTGTCCTGGTTTTGTTGCACGAAGCTGCCCCACACCCACAGACATTATTCGGTTCAAGTTAATGACTTCCTCAGCTATCTAGGAGGCTCTAATTGGTATTTCTCAACATTTCTGCTAATGGAGAACACTTCTTTTGAACTCTCAGGGTCCTTGCTTTGGAGCTAATGAAAATAAAGCAAAGTGTCTTTATAAGAAAAAAAATTAGGCCAGGTCCTGTGGCTTATACCTGTAATCCCAACACTTTGGGAGACCACGGCAGTGGATCACCTGAGGTCAAGAGTTCGAGAGCAGCCTGGCCAAGATGGTGAAAGCCCGTCTCTACTAAAAATGCAGAAATTAGCCAGGCGTAGTGGTGCATGTCTGTAATCCCAGCTACTTGGGAGGCTGAAGCACAAGAATCACTTGAACCTGGGAGGCGGAGGTTACAGTGAACCAAGATCGCATCACTGCACTCCAACATGGGTGACAGAGCAAGACTCCATCTCTCTCTCTCTCTCTCTTTATACAAACTCAGAAGAGAGCTAACCTCTTGTTGATATTTTATTATCAATTATTTATGTTCCTGCAATCTCTCTTCTTCTCCCAAATCTTTAACTAAGTCATGACCTAGAGTTGTGATAAATTTCATGGAACTTCGTAAAAGGACAGTGGTGCTGGTGAGCAGAGGTGTGATTTCACGTGCAGACTCTCAGTAACTGCTAAGTGTGATCATCCCTGCAGTGGCCGGAGCTCAAGTTGGAAGCATTCATTTCTGCCATGCCCATTTCTAGCCCTTTGAGGAGAGTATTCTAGTGCATATATTAATGGAATAAGTAAAAACCCAAACCAAAAGTCAACCAAAGTGTTGGCAGCAGTGACTGGGCAGCTCAGCCCCTGCCCTGGATTAGGGCTCTTTTGAGGGACATGCCTCAGTTGTCTTCCCACCTCTCGGCAGGTCAGTACCAAGCCTCTAAAGTCTACACAGAGGCTGCCTCTTGGTGTGTAGCTGTGTGTCCTGACATCCTTGGGGTGTCACCCAGGCAGGAACCCTCAGAGAGCTCTGTGCAACTTAACTTGAAGGATGGTTTTGCTACCACTGGGCTGTTTTCAGCTCTGCACATATTAGATAAAAGCCGCCTGTTGTGCCAACACCTAGCTTTAGTGGCTGGATTTGGCCCCTGATTGCTTCAGTGTGCAACATGTGCAACCGTCCAGAGCTACAGAAAGTGAGGTTCCAAGCTGCGGCAGAACACTTGTTGTCTGTACTGTTTTTCTCATTTTAAAGAGATGTTTAAAAATCTCTATTTGAGAAAAAGAATGTTAGGTGATAGGTTTAGGTAGAGGCATCTGTAATTTTGATTTTAATGAGTGTTCATGTTGATAGGTTAAGCAAAGGAGAGAATGTTATCATCTTTTTTGGAAGCCAAAAAAACTGGATAGATATTTTTTTTCTTTCAGAATTGGCAAAACTCAGGAGAATGGACTAAAGTACCTTAATGCCTAAGTTTTCTATAAACTTGTAGTGGAAGAGGACCGAGGAGAACCTTTATAAACCATTATAAAATGAATGTGAAAGCGCTATCCGGAAAATATCCATCATTCTCATTATTTATGGGGTGACCGCATTTACCTGTAATGCAGTAGTCTCAATATTCAGATTACTAGTTTTATATTTAATTTTAATTAAATTTTGAATCCTAATTAAACATATTTACCATAGAGTTCTTTTAGGCCATATCAAAGGGATTTCTCTCAACTCTGCCCACAGAATGTATTCAATGGCACTGATATTTAATATATTTAAAGGCTTACTACTGTAAGGTCCACTGGGAGTTTTAATTAATTTGGAGGAAAATGTGTAGTCCCAAAGCTCCCTCTAGTGGTGAGCAGCCACAGCCCACGGAGGCTCCTCTCCCAAGCCTTGATTGGGGCCATTGGCTCCTCTGCCTGGTGGTGTCATAGGCTCCACTGTCTGCCAGAGTTTCGGTTTTCTCCAGAGCCTTCTGTGTCTGAGTACTTCTCCAACAAGGGGGTGCTTGGCTGAGATCCCATGGGTGTGCCTGAGGTGCCAGGGCCCGCCGGGGAGGGCGTGAATGTGCCTGTTTCAGATGGAGGCAGCGCCCTCGAATGTGCTGAGGGGTGCCAGGGCCCCGGGGTGCTGCTGTGTGGATTGCAGGTGCCTGGAGCTTGCAGGTGCCTGGGCATCTATGGATGCCCCGGCCAGGAGCTTGGTGCTTCACATGGGCATATGCTTGTGTTGTTAATGGAGGCAGAGCCAGGAAAATACAAGTGTTTGCAGAGAATGCACTGCATGCTGGTGTGGTGTGATGGGAAAATGGAATTAAGCTATTGATGACAGACCCGCTGCCTGAGCACAGGAACACATGGGATCTGACCAGGCAGCTTCATGAGTCTTTGGAAGAAGATCATCATCATATTTTTCTTCCTTTTCAACATGGAATTCTGACCGCTTTAGGGGACTGACTTAACATGGTTCTGTTGAACAATACTGGAAACAGAGTACTGCTTTGGAGTAATAATTAATGAGAGCATTTTGGACTGTTTTTCTGAGAGAAGATAAGGAAAAACGTGTTGAAGATAATCGCTGCCTCTGGAGACCTTGGCTCGCAGTTTTACTGTGCGCTTCTGTGGGTCAGGCTTGACTTTCATCAGGGACGAATGTCTGCAACTCTGATAAGATCTAAGGACCTTCGGACATTTTTAAGATTTTTAAGATTTTTTTTCTTTAGCTGCCAGTAATTTATCAGCACTGAGTTTTCATAGAACGTTTTTACTGGATCGAGGATGTCAGATGGTTTGTTTGCTTTTGGATGGCTTTCGGGGAAGTCTTAACTGTTTTATAATAAGACCACACTGAGGGCTCCTTGAGTTATTCTTGTGATCAGTGATAGTTCTTTAGAAAGCGTTTTGCCAAGGACTCCTTTTAATTCATTTTTTTCTTATAAGTGGATGTGTAAAGTGGATTTTCATGGATCAGAAAATATCGATGGTTTTATTTCTCTGTAAATGTGGATCTATGAGAAATAGTCACTGTGCATCTCCTCTGTAACCATCACCTTCTAGCTGTGGATTACATACGGTGTTCAGCTCTGTCAGTCAGCTTCATGGTGAGTGATAAAGTTCATGTTAGAATACTTGAGCCTAGAATTGTGCCAGAATTCACTGTGGGCTCGGATAGTGTTTCAGCGTCAGGATTTGTCCAACAGAAATCTATCTTTGAACATGGACACCCAGAGACGATTCTGCATCAAATGCTGTAGCTGAGGCAGGCTCTTGCTGAGTACAGGGTGGACCATTTCTATCGCATGGACCTGTTGTCAGGGCTTGGGGTTTTCCACCCAAGAATCCTAGGACCGGGAATCCACCATAAAAGTTATGGTTCAGGCTTGGCCAACAGAGAAAGGCATTTTCACATCTGGTTTATCCACCCCTCAGACCCCAGCACTATTCTTTTGGCCAGGAGACTCCAGCACTGAGGTCTCGCTCGTGCTTCACGCGAACCTGGTCATCTCCACCATCGGTAGCTTTGGAGCAGTCAGAACAACGCTGGTGATGGTCAGAAGGAGGACAGTGGGGGTCCAGGAAATGAGGAACTTGCCCAAACAACCCCACGCGCTTTCTAAGAGCCAGGACGAGTCCAGAAGTCTCCCAGAACTAGAACAGCTCTTATGATATCTGAAGGTCATGGATTTTGAAAGATCAAAATTCAAAATTCCTGGGCTAGCGTCATGTGACAGGCCACTCTCACAATGCCCGTCAGGGGCGGTGAGCCGTTCCGTTTTTCTCTTTTCATATGGAATTCAATAAATGACAGCAGCTGTTAAATACTTTATTATAAAGCAGGCCTTGCGTTAGACAGTTTTGCCCAGTGTAGGCCACCGTAAGTTTTCTGAGCACATTTAAGGACGGCTGGGCTAAGCTACGATGTTGGATAGGTTAGATGATTAAATATGTTTTTGACTTAAAAATATTTTCAACCGGGCTGTGTGCAGTAACTCATGCCTGTAGTTCCAGCACTTTAGGAGGATGAGGTGGGCAGATCACATGAGGTTAGGAGTTCGAGACCAGCCTGGCCAACATGGCGAAAACCTGTCTCTACTAACACTAGAAAAATTATTGGGGCGTGGTGGCAGGCACCCATAATCCCAGCTGGTAGGGAGGTTGAGGTTGCAGTGAGCCAAGATCGCACCACTGCACTCCAGCCTCAGTGACAGAGCAAGACCCTGTCTCAAAATTTATATATATACATGTATATATATATTCAACTGACAATGCGCTTGTTGGGACATACCCCCTCATAAGCTCAGGAGCTCTGTGTGCACTGCTCAAGCCCTTGTGTCTACCCACATAGTCCATGGAGGGCCACTGCATGCATTTCCTGATATTCACCATCTCCAGCTAGACGTCTGGGCTTCCGGGAGAAAAGGAGAGTTTTGGGAAGAAGACACAGATTTGCAGCCGTGCTTTTTGTGTGTGATTGGTGTAATCTTTCCTGCTTTAATGTTAAATATTTAAATGCAAGAAATGATAGTAGTGATAAATGTGGCTGCTGAGTGCCATCCACACTATCCAATTTCTTTCCTGTACTTCTAGTGAACACATACACATCCTCTTCAGAGCTCAGTTGTAAATCTCATAGAGCAAAGGCGAATGAGCACTCATGACTTCGTCTTAGGAAAAGCAGACCCTCTAGGGGATCTTCTTGCACCCTGTCGCCGCCTCATACCACCGTGGCCATATTTCTGCCCTAATGTCAAGCCTCCTGGCATGGAGGGAGCTCCCGGCGGGGCCTCACCACAGAGTTTTCCATGACCCTACGGCAAGGCCTGCAGCCTTCCCACCTGTTTCCCAGTGGCAGCGACACTCAGGAAATGGTCCTGCTGATGTCCGATGGTGGTTGGACTCAAGGAGTTGGCCTTGTGGAATTCCGGGCAGAGTTCCGCACTCACCCACCGACTGTGAGACGTCCTCGACGTCATTTCCCCTTCACTGGATGCTTGCTGAGCGCTGGCTTCCAACGTGAGGCCTTTCGTTCCCGGAATGGTGTGCAGTCTTGCTTGTAAATGGAAATCTCAAGGCGCCAGATGACAGAAAGCAGCAGCAGCAGTGTGGCGCAGGGTCCGGAGCGTGAGCTTTCCCTGCGCCTGTCAGCCCCCGCTGCGGACTCCGGCCAGTCTGTAATGGTGTCCAGAACTCTTACACTGCAAAGGCATCGGGGGTCCTGTCCTGCCCAGCAACCTTTTACTACCTTTTCAAGTTTTTAGGATTCACATGTGGAATCCTACCTCATGCAGAGCTTCATGTCATACAATTGGCTAGTTCAGCATCCCATGACTTTGATTGAATTCAAACACTGTGAATGAAAGAAACAATGGCATTGGCTCTGAAGGAGTTACAGGGTCGAGATGGAGAAGGAATTACAGTCTCCCTGATGAGCATTGCTTGTTTCCCATGAATACACCCAGCACGTGGAGGCTGCCATACCCAGTACACTCCATGCTCAGTACCCAGACCCAGTACTCATACTCAGTCTGTGCACAGAGGAAGCCCCAGAGTGCTGGCAGCATTTCTGTGTGTGCTTCAGTCTGTGGTGGAGTTCTGTGATCCCAATAGTTCAGATTGCAAAAATCCCTTCCAATTTTCATTTAAAGGTACGGATTCCATGTTGGCTGTTGAAACAGGCATTACAGGGTCTTGACTGTAGGAATTCCGATGACTGCTTATTCTGGGTATATTTTGTGTTGACATAAGTTTCTGTTGTTGGTAATTATATTTTCCCTCCACATTTAGAAGCTTCATGCTATTTCAACTTCATCTGTCCTGGGTGCTTGATTTGTATTTGGATTTCTGACTTATCTGTGACGGAAGCTTATTTGAGCATTTGGTGTCCTGAACCGTGAACTTGTTTCTACAAGTATTGGAAGAGGAAGAGAAAGAATTGGGTATTATATCATGACTTTTTCTCCATGCATTTGAAGGATTTTTTTAGAAAGTCGATGCTTGCTTTAGATAATACATTAAGCGAGAATGCTAAGTTGCTCCATGCATGAGACGCTATTTCATGTCTAACTAAGAATGGCTAATTTTGGCACCAAGATCGTTCTCCATGTTGCATTCCTTCATCTGTATAGACAGTGGCACTTTGTTCTCCCTCCACACATTCTGAGTTTCGTCATTTGAGGACACGGCAGTCATCGTCTCCATTTTTGGCATAGAAATTCCCTGTTTTGACTAGTGCTGTGCATTGCACTGATGTTCAGAAATGAGGCCACAAGGTGTAGTTGCATAAAACTTTCTATGTTATATTTTTCAAGTTTCTCATTTCTCTCTTCCATTTTAAGTAGTCATTGCTGTGACAGACGATGGTTGTGGTTTCAATTTTGCTTGACGTGAAGTCTGTGGCCGCCGTGGATTTTTGGACCTTCCCTTGAGCGCACCTTGGGAAATGGATGATCGAGGGGCCTGTTCCCTGACTCCTAACTGTGCACATTCTCCTTGAGCTCCAGTGGAAGGGGGGTCATGGGGGTCACAGTTGTAGCATTGCCAGTAGCAGCTGCAAAGTCTGGCTTGGACACTACTGATTCCAATAACCTTTGTACAACTTGTCCAGCTCTTTGCTGTTCTTACAATCCCGGCGGACATGAGCTAAAAGCTCAGAGGAATGATTTGGCCCCATACAGCATGCTAGTCGCCAGCTAACTATATAGCTGTTTAAGGGCTTATCCTGTCTGTTTGCGCTGCCCTGGTTCCCATAATAACCTTGGACAGGGTGCAGAGTAGTAGATTCTTCGTGTGCACTTTAATCTGGACAAAAGATTAAGAACGTTAAAAAAGAATGTGGGGAATGGCAAGACCCACGTGCATGGAGGAGTCACTTCCTTCTTAGCTCCTTCATTTGAAAGCTCTGGAGACATAGATTGCTTAAGCGTTCCGGTGACACTGGGAAAGAATGTGTTCTTGTGAAAGCAAGGTCTGGGAATTCAGATTTCTGTGTTCTGTTCCCAGCAGCATGAGGGGTCACCCAGTGACATGTGACAAGTCAGTGAAGCATTGGAATCTTTCCCTATCTGTGAAATGGACATAAAAGGGTCGGTACCTTGGGCTAACATGAAGTTGGTGAATTGTTAGATACTCTGCTGGGAACCGGCTTGCTCTAGTGACCCAGAAAAAACAGGGACTGTGGTGAAGGCTGACCTCATTTCTATTTCTGGCTGTAGTGCTGACTCAGTGAGAAACTAGAAATCAGTGAATCTGGCTCTGGTCCTCCGTGCATTCCATGGTTAAATCAAGAATTATAAAATCTTATCATTGTGTCTCATGGTGATACTGACAGTGTTAATCTAGTACTAAAAATACTCCACCAAATGTATTAGAAAGCTTCTGCATGGACATGCCTTTCTCATTTCCGTCCTATCTCATGCTGGGTTATTTGGGGCTACAAAGTCCATATTGATTTATTTATTTTAGCCAGCTGTTTGGAGTTCAGTCCTATTCTGGTTTGAGGAGGCTTTTCCTACATCCGAAAACTGAGTGGCCCAGATTGCTGACCTTGTGCCCCAGAGCTCCTCACAGCAGGATTTTCTGCCCTTGTGTCCTGGGGCCATCACTGTAGGCGAAGGATGGGTGTGTTTAAGGAGCTCTTCATTTGAACAAGTCTTGGTCTGGAAATGTTTCTCGTTCCTCACTGGCACAGGCCTCAGGGAGAAGGAGCCAGCCTGCCCTGTAAAAACTTGGGCTCAGAGCCTCGTGGGGTCACGGCTGCTCCTCTGGCCGATTCCCTGGATGCTGCTGGCCTGAAGGGGCAGTGCCACACGGTGGGGCTTGAGGTTCTTTCATCCACTGACTATTTTATTGAGTTCCAGGATTGTAACCTCCTTTCTGCATTTGTAAAAATGTGGCAGGCAGTTAAATCACCAGTAAGTACCAGGCCTGGCTGAGTGGCTTGGAAAGAACGGTAACTTTGGATGTTTATGTTATGTAATGTGTAGCTGGTCAGTTTATTTTTACTTTAAACTATGACAACTTTGAGAAAAGCACTGAACACTAAGTAATCCTACCAGTAATCTCCAAAGTGCCTGCCTTCTGTTTCTCAATCAGCTGATAATGGCTGCTTAATCTACCCAGTTCCTATGGTAAGACTGCATTAAAATCCACATGCTGTAAAGCAAATAGATCTTCTTGATTTCTTATCATAGTTATGGGTTTTTGTTTGTTTTTTTGAGATGGAGTCTCACTCTGTTGCCCAGTCTTGAGTGCAGGGGCACAATCTCAGCTCACTGCCACCTCTTACTCCCAGGTTCAAGTGATTCTCCAGCCTCAGCCCCAGCCCTCTGAGTAGCTGGGATTACAGGCATGTGCCATCACACCTGGCCAATTTTTGCAGTTTTTAGTAGAGACAGGGTTTTGTCATGTTGGCCAGGCTGGTCTCAAACTCCTGACCTCAGGTGATTCACCTGCCTCAACCTCCCAAAGTGCTGGGATTACAGGCGTGAGCCACCATGCCCGGTTCAAAACACACTCTTGAAAGACATTTCTCATGAAAGCCCACCAGCACCCCGTGATGGTTCAGGGGAGGCTCAGCATCTTGCTTGAGGTCCACACTGTGGACTCTGCCTGCTCACGCCTCCTAATGGTCTCTGAAGAGGAAGACGTCTTGGAAGTTCCATCACAAAATCTCAGCGCTGAGACTGTTGCTAACAAGAGAGGTCCACTGATAGTGTGAAATTATAAGCAGTTCAGTGAAACATCCCTCACTATTTACTATTTTATTTTCCCAAGAAATTATCTGGCATTTAGTACATCTAAAGCATCACGCCAGGAGTGAGGTATGACTCCTGCCTGAGGTCGCCACTGCTGTCTGTTTCCATACACTCACTGCGGACTTGTGCGAGGCTGGATGATAGATTAATGATGGGAATTGGCTCATAGGATCATGGAGGCTGAGGAGTTCCATGATCTCGCATCTGCAAACTCGGGCGCCTGAAGTGTAACTCGGGCTAAGACCAGCAGCTGGAGAGCCCACGGGGCTGCTGGTGCAGGTCCCTGTATCTGAAGGCCGGAGAACCTGGAGTTCTGATGTGCAAGGGCAGGAGAAGGTGTCCGAGTTCCAGAAGAGAGAGTTGGCCTCTGTTCTGCCTCTTTGTTCTGTTTGGGCCTCAGCTAACAGCAGCACCACCTAGTCACCTTGGGAGAGGGAAGGCCTTCCTTACTGTCCACGTATTCGAATGCCAATCTCTCAGAAACACACCCGGAAATCATGCTTTACCAGCTCTCTGGGTATCCTGTGACCCAGTCAACTTGACACCTAAAATTAGCCATCGCGGGCCAGGCGTGGTAGCTCACGCCTGTAATCCCAGCACTTGTGGAGGTCGAGGAGGGTGGATCCCCTGAGGTCAGAAGTTCGAGACCAGCCTGGCCAACAAGGTAAAACCTTGTCTCTACTAAAAATACAAAAATTAGCCAGCGTGGTGGTGGGTGCCTGTAGTCCCAGCTACTTGGTAGGAGGCAGGAGAATCACTTGAACCTGGGAGGTGGACATTAGAGTGAGCCAGGATCACACCAGTGCACTGCAGCCTGGGCAAGAGAGTGAGACTCCCTCTCAACAACAACAACTAACACAATTAGCCATCACAGCTGCACCAATTCCGTCCTCTGTTTCTTTCCTGCTGCCTTTTGCCTGACTGTGTTCCTCTTGTGTAGGGTGAAAGAGGCCTCCCAGGGTTACAAGGTGTCATTGGGTTTCCTGGAATGCAAGGACCTGAGGGGCCACAAGGACCACCAGGACAAAAGGTAAGCATGCCGTGGGATGGGGGTGGGGTGGATGTGGGATGGGGGTGGGACGGATGAGCGTGGCTGTGAGATGGGGGGGGTGGGGTGGATGTAAGACTGCCTGCATTTCTGAGGTAACAGTG